GCAACACAATCATGTGCATGGAAATGCACACATGCAGGGCACAGGGGGCACAACACAAACAGGGAACAGACGTTTCAGTAGTTGAAAATGCCTGTGCCCAGCTATGTGGGAGATGGAATCACTAGGCACCACGTCCTACCCTTTTGGTATCCCTTTCCATTTCTGCCCCCAGCCTTTCAGTATTATCCTGAGCCAGCCTTAAGTCATTTCCAGCTTTGTCTGTGCAGTGGTGGTGAAAGGTCACGTGGTGAGTGTGCAAATTCAGAGAAGACCCCAACATCAGCAGAAAAATCCAATTGTACACCTTGATACTAAAACCAGACAAAGATGCCACAAAAAAAGAAAACTACAGGCCAATATCACTGACAGGCATAGATACAAAAATCCTCAATAAAATTCTAGCAAAAAGAACTCAACAATATTATGAAAATACACATCATTACCAATTGAGCTTTATCCCAGTACTACAAGGATTCTTCAAAATTCACAAATTAATCGATGGGATACACCACATTAACAAATTGAAATATAAAAATCATGATTTTCTCAATAGATGCAAAGGAAGCCTTTGACAAAATTCAGCATCCATTTATGATAAAAACCCACAGAAAGCAGGCAAACAAAACACATACCTGAACATAATAAAAGCCATATATGATAAACCTACAGCAAACATTATCCTCAATGGTGAAAAATTGAAAACATTTCGCAAAAAGGCAGGAACAAGACAAGGGTGTCAACTCTCACCACTACTCGTCAACATAATTTTGGAAGTTTTAGCCAGAGTAACCACAGAAGAAAAAAGGAATCCAGATTGGAAAGAAGAGGGAAAAGTCTCACTCTTTGCAGATGAAATGATCCTCTACATAGAAAACCCTAAAGACACCACCAGAAAACTACTAGAATTAATCAATGAATATTGCAAAGTTGCAGGATATAAAATGAACACACAGAAAGAAATCTCTTGGATTCCTATACACCAGCAATGAGAAAGCAGGAAGAGTAATTAAGGAAACAATTGCATTCATCGTTGCAACAAAAAGAATAAAATACTTTGGAATGTATCTACCAAAAGAAACAAAGGGCCCATATATAGAAAACTATAAAACCCTGATGAAACAAATCAAAGATGACACAAACAGATGGAGAAATATACCGTGTTCCTGCATCGGAAGAATCAATATAGTGAAAATAAATGCATTACACAAAGCAATCTATGGATTCAATGCAATCTGTATCAAGCTACCAACGGTATTTTTCACAGAACTGGAACAAATGATTTCAAAATTTGTATGGTAATACAAAAAAACCTCAACTAGCCAAAGCAACCTTGAGAAAGAGAAATCGAAATGCAGGTAGAAACCTGCCTGATTTCAGAGTATACTACAAAGCTACAGCCATCAAGACAGTATGGTACTGGCACAACGAAAGAAATATAAATCAATGGGACAAGATAGAAAGCCTGGAGATAAGTCCACACACATATGGGCACCTTATCATTGACAAAGGAGGCAAGAATATACAATGGTGAAGAGACAATCTCTTTAACAAACCTGGGAAACCTGGTCAACGACTTGGATAAGAATGAAACTCTAACACTTTCTAAAACCATACACAAAAATGAACTCAAAATGGATTAAAGACCTAAATGTAAGACCAGAAACTACACAAGTCCTAGAGGAAAACACGGCAAAACATTATGTGACAAATATCACAGCAGGATCATCTATGATCCACCCCACAGAGTAATTGAAATAAAAGCAGAACTAAACAAATGGACCTAATTAAATTTAAAAGCTTTTGCACAAAGACAGAAACTATAAGAAATGTGCACAGACATCCCTCTGAGTGGAAGAAAATAATAGGAAGTGAAACAACTGACAAAGAATTAATCTCAAAAATATACAAGAAGCTCGTGCAGCTCAATTCTAGAAAAAGAAACAACCCAATCAAAAATTGGTCCAAAGAACTAAACAGACATTTCTCCAAGTCAGTTCAGTTCAGTCACTCAGTTGTGTCTGACTCTGTGTGAACCCATGAATCGCAGCACGCCAGGCATCCCTGGCCATCACCACTCCCAGAGTTTACACAAACTCATGTCCATCGAGTCAGTGATGCCATCCAGGCATCTCATCCTCTGTCCTCACCTTCTCCTCTGCTCCTAGTCGCTCTCAGCATCAGGGTCTTTTCTAATGAGTCAACTCTTCACATGAGGTGGCCAAAGTATTGGAGTTTCAGCTTCAGCATCCGCCCTTCCAATGTATACCCAGGACTGATCACCTTTAGGATGGACTGGTGGGATCTTCTTGCAGTCCAACGAACTCTCAAGAGTCTTCTCCAACACCACAGTTCAAAAGCATCAGTTTTTCGGGGCTCAGCTTTCTTCATAGTCCAACACTCACATCCATACATGACCAGTGGAAAAACCATAGCCTTGACTAGACAGAACTTTGTTGGTAAAGTAATGTCTCTGCTTTTTTTTCCCCATTTATTTTTATTAGTTGGAAGCTAAATCCATGTCTCTGCTTTTAAATTTGCTATATAGGTTGGTCAACACTTTCCCTCCAAGGAGTAAGCATCTTTTAATTTCATGGCTGCAATCACCATCTGCAGTGATTTTGGAGCCCCCCCCCTCAAAAAAATAAATTCAGCCACTGTTTCCACTGTCTCCCCATCTATTTGCCAGGAAGTGACGGGACCAGGTGCCATGATTTTAGTTTTCTGAATGTAGAGCATTAAGCCAACTTTTTCACTCTCCTGTTTCATTTTGTCAAGAGGCTTTTTAGTTCCTCTTCACTTTCTGTCAATAGGGTAGTGTCATCTGCGTATCTAAGGTTATTGATATTTCTGCCCCCAATGTTGATTCCAGCTTGTACTCCTTCCAGCCCAGCTCTTCTCATGATGTACTCTGCATACAAGTTAAATAAGCAGGGTGACAATATACAGCCTTGACATACTCCTTTTCCTATTTGGAACCAGTCTGTAGTTCCATGTCCAGTTCTAAATGTTGCTTCCTGACCTGCATACAGGTTTCTCAAGAGGCAGGTCAGGTGGTCTGGTATTCCCATCTCTTTCAGAATTTCCCACAGTTTATTGTGATACACACAGTTGAAGGCTTTAAGTGTAGTCAATAAAGCAGAAATAGGTGTTTTTCTAGAAGTCTCTTGCTTTTTTGATGATCCACTGGATGTTGGCAATTTGATCTCTGGTTCCTCTGCCTTTTCTAAAACCAGCTTGAACATCTGGAAGTTCATGGTTCATGTGTTGCTGAAACCGGGCCTGGAGAACTTTGAGCATTACTTTACCATCGTGTAAGATGAGTGCAATTGTGCAGTAGCTTCAGCATTCTTTGGCATTACCTTTCTTTAGGATTGGAATGAACACTGGCCTTTTCCAGTCCTGTGGCCAATGTTGAGTTTTCCAAATTTGCTGACATATTGAGCCAAAGAAGACATACAATAGCTAACAAACACATGAAAATATGCTCAACATCGCTCATTATCAGAGAAATGCAAATCAAAACTACAATAAGGTACCATCTCATACCATTCAGAATAGCTGCTCTCAAAAAGTCTACACACAAGAAACACTGGAGTCAGTACAGAGAAAAGGGAACCCTCTTACACTGTTGGTGGAAATGCAAACTAGTGCAGACACTATGGAGAATGTTGTGGAGATTCCTTAAAAAAAAAAAAAAAAACTGGAAATAGAATTGCCATATGACCCAACACTCCCACTGCTGCACATACACAGTGAGGAAACCAGAATTGAAAGAGACACGTGTACCCCAATGTTTAACACTGCATTGTATACAATAGCTAGGACATGGAAGCAACCTAGATGTCTATCAGCAGATGAATGGATAAGAAAGCTGTGGTACATATACACAATGGAATATTACTCAGCTATTAAAACAATGCATTTAAATCAGGTCTAATGAAGCGAATGAAACTTGAGCCTATTATACAGAGTGAAGTAAGTCAGAAAGACAAACACCAATACAGTATAATAACACATATATATGGAATTGAGGAAGATGGTAACAATGACTGTATATGAGAGGCAGCAAAAGAGACACAGATTTGAAGAACAGAATTTTGGACTCTGTGGGAGAAGTCGAGGGTGGGATGATTTGAGAGGATAGCATTGAAACATGTACATTGAAATATGGAACAGATCACCAGTACAGGTTTGATGCATGAGACAGGGTGGTACTGGGACAACCCTACGGGATGGGTTAGGGAGGGAAGTGCGAGGGGGTTGGGACAGGATTGGTGTCAGGATTGGGACACATATACACCCATGGCTGATCCATGTGAATGCGTGGCAAAAACCACTACAATATTGTAAAGTAATTAGCCTCTAATTAAAGTAAATAAGTTAATTTACCAAAAAAATAAATTAATGGGGCGCCAGTGATGAACCCCTTCTGACAGGTAGGCTTTCCCAGGAGAAGGGGCTGGAGAGAAGGGCCAAGGTAATGTCAATCACAATGAGTAGCAAGAGGCCACAGGTTGGCAGAACCCAGGGAATCCTGATTCTGCAAACCATGCTTAATTCATTCTGCCTGCATCAGAATCACCGAGGACTCTTATGCTGTAATTATAGCTGCTTTGAGTGAGAGTTGGACACATGAATTCCCCAAGCTCCCTGACTGTCATCATCTACCTTCATGATCTGAATCCAGGATCTGCAGCCATCCTATATGAGCCTAGCTTCCCCATTTGGGAAAGAAGAGTGTCCCAGACTCTCCACACCTGTGACTTCAGGGCCCACATCCTGTTCCCCTCAAAAGATGTCTTCCTGTAGGAACCTCTCATGGCAGGACCTTCCGCCCAGGGGTAGTACTGCAGGGGATCGACCCACAGGTCTTTGGAGATGATCTGCTGGCAACATGAGGAAGGCCAGAACATGCCTAATGAAGCCCCAATACTTCCCATGTGTAGCCAAGAACTCCAGCATCCATCTCCAATTCTGGGGTAGGCCCAGAATGACACTACCTTTGCAGTCCTGATTGATGCTGGGAAGTTGTGGGTTGACAACCAGTTGAGGAAGTTAAGGCTGCTGGTGTCCAGACTGAGGCTGGGAGCTCCCCATACATAATTCCAGAACCAGTGGACTGGAGTGGAACAATATGCCCTATACCCTTGAGGAAGACAAGGGGGATAGGGAAGGATCACAGTGGAGGAGTATCCACTCCCTCCACCATCCACCCACAGTGACTGGGAGCCACATCACACCAATTATGTCATGGTAGTACTCCTCCACGATGACTGTATTCCAGAAGTTGGGGTTGTCACAAAAGGAAAATATCAGCTTGCAGTTGGACTGGGGATGGCCTAGATCCTGCACCTGCCAGAACCAGGAGGAGGGGAAAGGTGCAAGCTTCTAGGGTCCTCAGCTTTCATGCTAGGCAGGCATCAACATCTTTCTCTTCTCCAGACACTTAAACTGCACATGCATGGATATGATACATGCCCCCCACCCTCCCCCCAAAAAAATCCCTGCCCATTTTCCCCATCCACTTGTCCTCAGTCTTCCTCACTCAGCCCCAAACAAATCATGTACATAAGCAAGACTTTACCTTCATCACTGATCATGAAACACATTTGGGGGTGGTTCATTATCTGCTTTAGGTCAAGGACAAGAACAAGTAACCCTGGAACAGGCATCTTCAAGGTATGTTGCATTCCTGTTTGCTGGGCCACCCGACTGACATCCTCAGCCCCTGCCATACCATCAGACATGCTCATGGCTCTTGGTCCCCCATGGTCCTCTAGGTCTCCTCTCTGCATCCACCGAGGGAGTGTCAGTTTCTTACAACTTCTGATTTCTGCCTCATCTGTGTGTGCAGGGTAGTGGCATGTCACTGCTTGAAATGTCACGATCTGAAGTCCCTGTGGCAAGTCTTGTCTGTAGGCAAATGTCTGCTGTGTGTCACTATGTGTGTGTGTGTGTTTCTGTGTTTAGCAAACCCCTGGGACTCTGATCTGCTCCCTGTCTTCACCAAAGGGTGAAGTTGTCTGGCCCTAACTATGGGCAAGAAGAACCACCCCTTCAAGCTCCACCTAGGTGAGTGGACAATGTCCTGCTTTTCCACTGCACTAGTGAGAACAACTACTGGGACTCTGACTGACTGGTATGGGTTCTGGGACCCCCAATGTCTCTGTTGTTTTCCCAGATAATCCGCAATTACAATAACAAATCTTTGAGAATGCTATTCTGGCCTACTGTCTCTGGTGACTTAGAACTCCAGCCCCAGGTTACGGCTTCTGTTCAGATGCAGGCCAAAAGGAGCCACGGGAAGTCATGGCTCAGACACACACAAATGGAGCCATGCCCAGGAGCTGCTGGCACTGTTCCTTTGGCGCTCACCCCTCCTCCCAGCCCCCACTTCCCTTGGCCTCCTTGGCTTGCCTGTGCCCTCACCCACAGCACTCCTCCTGTTCCTGCTCCTTCTCTCCTTCTAAACAACCGACCCCAGGAAGTGTTAGTAAGGATATGACTTTACCCCAGAAGCCAGGAATGCCCTAGATCATTGAGCTTCACTGAGACAAGGGACACTTTCCCCTCTGGTGGTCCTTCCACCTGAGCTGAAAGTAGGCCCTGTGATATTTTTCATTGGCACAGGTCAGGTCTACCAGCAGGACAGCCAATGCCTCCAGTGCCCGAAGTGGGGGCCATTCACTCGGGGCTCCCAGTCTTGGGTGTCCCTGGTCCTGTTCCTCTGGGTTCTCCTCCCACTCTTACGGACACCCGTGCCTGCTTCTCCTCCACCACCATCACCACCTCCACCTCCTTCATGATGTCTCCCACCAGCGGCTGGAGGTCCTGCCAGAACCCCACCACCTCTACTTCCTGCAGAGCCGGGCCTTCCTCCACCGCCTCCATCCTGAAGATGGTGCCCTCCCTGCCTGGTGCCCTCCTTCCCCCGCCCCTCCAACCCGCTGTCTGTAACGTCCCTGATGGCTCCACCGTGCTGGCAGGCCTCAGGGCCCCTACGGCCTGAAGACCAGTCTCACAACGAAGAGGATTCAGGGTGCCAGGGGCCCTCTATCCTTCCTCCGGTTTCTCTATCCTTGTGGCTCTGGCCATGGCCCAGGGTGCAAAGGATGTGGACCCCAAAGTGCAGCAGCTGCCTGGCTCAGCACACCCACAGGTTTCAGTCACTCCCCACCAATTGGTTACTTGCCTATAGTCTAGCAGAGGGAAAGGTAGACATGCATGTGGATCCGTGGGTCACCACACATGAGTAGTATGTCAGTGGCAGGGGCCTGACTTTTACATGCTGACCTTCAGAACACATCAGGACCCAATCAAATGGAGGCTAAATGCATTTCCTTAGGGGCATGCCCCTTGGGATTTGGGCACTGTGGCAGTAGCTGACAATCTCTGATCAAAGCAAAGAATGCCCTGCATGGAAACTATTTTCATGAGCAACAGTGCCAAGGGACAAATAGGGGAGGCACGTGTTTCAGTAACTGAAGAACCAGTAGTTCTTATGAAATATAAACGATTTCCATATTTCTTACAGGAAAAATCTCCATTCTGATCTTCAAATGTAAAATACAGAGAGAAGCTCTACTTGCATGTGGAGAAGGCAGTGGCAGCTGAATCCAGTACTTTTGCTTGGAAAATCTCATGGATGGAGGAGCCTGGTAGGCTGCAATCCATGGGGGTAGCGAAGACACTACTGAGGGACTTCACTTTCACTTTTCACTTTCATGCATTGGAGAAGGAAATGGCAACCCACTGCAGAGTTCTTGCCTGGAGAATCCCAGGGACGGCAGAAACTGGTGGGCTGCCGTCTATGGGGTCGCACAGAGTCGGACATGACTGAAGTGACTTAGCAGCAGCAGCAGCTACTTCCATGAAGGAGGATTAGGACCAAGATTTCATTCAGGAAGTACAGAATAGTCCATATTTTATGGTGGAGATTGGTTCTCTTGATATATATTTGAGAAATACAAAGAATTCCATATTTCTTGAAAGAGTTTTGGCCAGATTTTCATTTGTAAAATAGAGATGATTTCAGTTCCATAATGATTCTCTGTATCTTAAGAAAACCAATGTCAAGGTTTTCATATGTGGAATATAGAGAATTCCATATTTCATCTAGGAAAATCTCCACCCAGATTTTCATATATGATGTATAGAGATTTTCACATTTCAGGTAAGAATAATAGCATCCAGATGCTTATAAAGTGAAATACGAAAATATCCAATGTATCGTGAACTAAAATCAGCATCGAGATTTTCATTTGTAACATATACAGATTTGATATTTATTTGAGTAAAATAGTCACCATGATTTTTGAGATGTGAAATATACAGAATTCTATATTTTATGTAGTGATATCACTGCACAGATTTTGGTGTCTGAAATATACAGAATCACAGATTTCATGTGGGGACGGTTTTTCGTATGTGATGTACATAAATTTCAGTCCTTCATGTAGGCAAATTTCAGCAGGGATTTTGTATGTGATATAGAGAGTATATTATATCTCATGTGATAATGTGTGGACAAATTTCAAATGTGAAATATAGAAAATTCCATATTTCATTTGGATATTTTCATATATATAAAATATAGAGAACATTTTCCATATTTTTTGCTGTAATATCTGAAACATGATTTCCATATATGATACAAGAAAATTTTCATATTTCATCTGAAAATAAATTCACAGATTTCTATATGAGACACGGAAACATTTTATATTTCACTAGGAAAATCTGTTCCCAGATTTCTCTATGTGAAGTATAGAAAATTACATATTTATGTCAGAAAATCTTAATACAGATTTTTTATTATGAAATATTCAGAATTTCATATAGCAAGCAAATATGTGTTTATATATTCTGACTGTCATCTGTAAAATAGACATCATTCCATGTTTCCTTTAGGAAAACCTGAACTTTGATTTCCACATGTGAAACATATGGAATTCCATATTTAACATTTGAAAATCTCTGCCTAGAAAACACTTGCTAATATTTAATTACGTGAAGTATAGAGAATTCAATGTTGAATGCAAGAAATATGAATGCCCATATTTCCAACTGTTAAACACAAAGAATTTCATATATAATGTAGGAAAATATACACACAGATATTCATAAATGTAATGTAAAGAATTCAGTGTTTCATTCCACTGTATACCTAATTCCATATTTCATGCAGGAAAATCTGTGCCTGGATTTTCAAATGAGACGTTTAGAGAATTCCATCTCATTACATATTTAACACAGAAATAACAGCACTCAGACTGTCAAATGTGAACTATAAAGAACCACATATTTTAGAAAGTAAACCTGTGCTCATATTTTGATAAGGGTAGTACAGATAGTTCCTTTTCTCATGTAGGAAAATCTACAGCCATATTTTCATATGTGTCATGTAGCAAATTGTCAAGATAAATCAGTGTCTAGGTTTTGTAAATGAAATTGAGGGACTTTATATTTCATATAAGAATAGCTGAGCTAAGATTTCCATATTTGAAAGAAAGAAAATCCCATATTGTATACAAAAGCTGCACTCAAGTTTTCATATCTGAATTATACACAGCTCATATGTCTTGTCAGAAAATCTTCACCCTGGTTTTACATAAGTGAAATGGGCAAAAATCTGTATATCCATGTCAAAACTTCATCATCAGATCTTATATGTGAAATATAGAGAATTCCATACTGCGTGCAGGTAAATCTGCCTGCAGATATAAATAGTGAGATATAGAGAATTCCATATTTCAGCTAGAAATAGCTACACCTTGATGGTGAAATATGAAATATAAATATTACCATATTTCCTGTAAGAATGTATGTGCCTCGATTTTATACGTGCCATTTAGAGGATTCCAAAATGCATGTGAGAATAGCTACACCCATATTTTCATGAATGAATTATTGAGATTCCATTTCTCATGTGGGAAGATTTTCACTCAGATTTTAAAAATGAGAAATCGGGATGATTCTATATTTCATACAGGGAAAATGACATCCAAATTTTGATATGTGAAATATACAGATTTCACAAAATATTGAAACTTCAGCATCAGACCTTCCAATGGATATTTAGGGTTAGTTTCCTTTAGGATTGATGGGGTTGATCTCCTTACTGTCCAAGGATATCTCAAGAGCCACCTCCAGCACCACAGTTACAAAGTCTCAACTCTTTGGCACTCAGCCTTCTTTATAGACAAACTATCACAGCCATACATGTCTACTGGTAAAACCATAGCTGACTATATGGACAACTGTTGCCAAAGCGATGTCTCTGCTTTTCAATACATTGTGTCTAGGGTTGTGATAGCTTTTCTTCCCAAGAGCAGGGGTCTTTTATTTTCATGGTTGTAATCACTGTCCCCAATGATTTTGGAGCTCAAGAAAACTGTGTCACTATTTTAATATTTACCCTTTCTATTTGACAAAACATTGCTAGACTTTGTCCTGACTCATTTCGTACACCATGACCAAACGTGCCCATTACACCAGATGTCTCTTGATGTCCTGCTTATACATGCCAGAACACTATGGTGAAATGGACATCTTTTCTCGGTGTTAGTTCTAGAAAGTCTTGGAGGTCTTCCTAAAACTGTTCAAGCTCCCTGGTGGCATAGATGATAAAGAATTGAGAAGCAGAGACTTTGATTTTTCATGTAGGAAAACCTCCACCCAGACGTTCATGTTTAAGAAAGCGAACTCTGCATTCCTTGCAGGAAAAGTAACCATCCTGATTTTCAGCTGTGAAATGCAGAGAATTCTATATGTTATGTAGTAAAAAAAAAAAAAA